AATTTGGAGGACATTTTTGTTCTGTGCATGCACAGCAGTGGCTTATATCTTTACTAAACAGCTGAAGTTTATCTCCAGAAATGGTGTCAAAACAGATTTTAGGAGCAGCATTACTTAAACTAGTATTATTTAATGATTTGCAATGTTTGGTTTTGGGGTGGTGGTGGTATCTTGATCACAGACCTTTTGAGGATCAGAAATACATTGGAAGGGCTACAGATACTGTGTAATCCTCTTTCCTTTCTTCTCCACCCCCCCCTTTTTTTGTTTATTGTTTGTCTTATCAGAGAAACCAATTTTTACTTACCAGTGTGTAATATTTTCCCAGCTAGGGAAAAATATTTATGGAAACACTGAAACATACGTCTATGCGCACATGTGCAGGAGGGAAAGGAAATGGGAGAGACCAAGAGCACATTACTTTAGCAACACTAGATCATTAATCTCTAGGTATCGGGGAATTTAAAAGGGTACTGTTCAAATGGGAAAATGCAGACTGGAATATTTTATAACAAATTGTCCTGAACATAAAGCCTGTGTTTCAAGAATGCTTAAACATAATATTCAGTGTGGACTCTGGCATTCGCATACAGCAAAAAGGCACCACAATATTTTTTAATGATTTGTAGTCAAAAATTGGCCCATCTTTTAAAATGTTTTTGTTAAGTTTCTGTTTTTCTGAGAAGCTGTAAATCAAGATGTTACATATAAATAGATTCCTTACAAAAAGGTTTTTGCCATTAGCTCTTATAAGACATCATTGCTAAAATGAAAATAAAACATTTCATTTGTTATATTTTTGCATTTTTTTTTATATAAAATAAAAATTTGTCTTTTCTGTCGTGTTATCTTCCTCAGTACTGATGTATTCATGGAAGTGGACATGAGGAAGAGTGTGTAACACCTAAGGTGGCGCAAAGCCTTGGCTGGATCTGGTGTGTGTTTGTTGGCTTTCACCCTGTGCGTTGAATCTGCTGAAAGAAGAGAAAGTTCTGTTGTCAGCTGAGCAGTACAAATCTGTGTCCGTCGCCTCCATGTTCCGATTGCTTAAGAAAGGGGTGCTTTCAGCTATCAGCTCCTCATCAGACTCACTGTATGAGGCGCTGCTGACCGAAAAGGAATCTCTAAGCATTCTGCCTCTGTGAGACAGGTGGCCATTCAGTTTAGATCTCCTCCACCGCCTGTTGCTGCTGCCTGTTCTCTTTGGCTGTTCTAGTGCAGTGATGTACTCATGGGTTGTCTCGTATTCATCATCCTCTGTGATGCGGAAGGGACTGGAGGGCAAGCTCCCTGTACTCTCATTCAGATAGTTCCTTCTTTGGTAGTAAGTATCATACCTTTGTGTATCTTGGGAGGGCGCTTGGTACCTTCTTAGCAATGGCTGTTGCTCCTCCACTTGGAAATTAATGGATGCAGCCGGGGGAAGTGAAACCGCATGAGCAGAATTAGGAGAAGTTATTTCAAAGGTGGGCACGTGGGCTGAAGCTGAGCAATGGAAGTCGACAGGGGATAGGCGTGCCGGGGTGGTCAAGGCAGAGACATATCTAGAAAAAGAAACAATGGCATTGGTATCCAGCTTAAATCTTAGAACAAAAGGCTGAGTCTTTCAGCACAAAGTTTTCCATTCCTATAAACACTTTGATCAGGATAAAATAAAAGAAAGGGATTTTTCTCTGAGATTGAAGTATTCACGGAATAGAGTATGATTGTTGTCATATGAGAAGGGGGAAGCCTACTGATCAGACACAGATTTTTCACTCTAAAATAAGAACTGGAAAGAAGAAGAAATACACAGGGTTGTGATACACTTTAGGCAGGGGTGGGTTTCTCGCCCCGTTCCAACTGGTTCGGTTGGAACGGGGCCGGCGGCGTCCTCGTGCACGCGCGCGGTGC